GATGAGTAGAAAAAAATACCTTAATAAACATATATATATATATATATATATATATATATATATATATATATATATATATATATATATATATATATATAATATATATATATTATATATATATACATACATATATTAGATGTCATAGTTAACACTATGCAGTATGTAAGTGAGAGACACGGCATCAGTTCCTTCACAGTTCTAGTTGCTGAATCCTGAATCGGTCATTAGCAGCTGTTTTTTGTGTGGGCAGTTGATCTGTGAAAAATTTGTCATGAGAGAAGTGAGGTTGGCGTTGTGTCACAGTCTGAGAGTACGCTGTTTACTAAGTGGTTTTAGTTCAATCTCTCAAATGATAATTTTTTGACTCATCCATCAAGAAAAACACAACACTTCCTTAGATGTCATGCAAGTATGAACAATATCTGCAGAAAGAACTCTACTGATGATGCTGAAATTTGTACACAGAGGCAAAAGAGGAAACTGCATTGGGCCCCGAGCTTAAGGGATTCCCAAATTAATGGTGCATGTGTTTAATAATTAATGTAATAGTAGGACAATGTCACAGAAGAACTGAAGAACACAAACCAGTAGGCTAAAGCTTATGATGCAACCTCAAAATATGATTCCCCTGAAGGGGCCATTTCAGGGGAGGTTCCCTAGTGTCACTATTAAAGTGGCCAACAATCATATGAAACAGTAAGGGCATTCGAATGACAGACTTAGTCACCCTTCCAATTTGTGTGGTGACCATATTTTGTAGCATAAATTGATATCATATAAAGTAAAAGCTGCTCAATTTCTATGATATATAAAATATGGGAAATATAAATAGATATAAAACTTATTTAAATATTAGGTTCGTTTTAAACCTCAGTCTTAAAAGTAGTGGTTGTTGTTTATGGTATTTTGTTTACACTTATAATCTAGTTTATAATATTATGAAATCCTGATTTAAACTTACTTTATCAGTAAAATGTCTCCTGAGCAGATATTATTCAAAGTGGAAAATGCTTAGAAAAGAAACAAAAAAGGTTTAGTTAAAAAATGTTAGATTATTTAGCCACAGATAAGTTCTTCCCTTATGAAATGTTAATTTTCTTTTTAAAAGTGATTTTTTTTATCATAAAATCAACTTTGTCAAACATATTATCAAATTACTAATTACTACATTCTTTGTCAAAAACAGTAACTGATAGAATACAAAATTATTAAAATTACCATTAGCTGCAGTCCTAGTAGTTTATATAGTGATATTTTTGCTTTGGTCATGTGTCCTTAATTGAAAGTAAGATGGAGTATAATGCATCAGTCAGTTGTCTCTTCTGCCCAGGGCCCAAATGGTGTCTTTTGTTTATAAAATGATTTGCAGCTTCCAATAATTCAATGGCCTCTTTCTGAGAGTTTTGACTCAACCTCCTGGATATCCATTGTTGCACATATGCAACAAACCCTTTGTAGTATGTTAATATATATAGCATGTGCATTCCCTCATTGTCAGTTTTTACGCTGTATGGACCTAGGAAACTTTGACAAGTTTTTTTTTTTTTTTTCTGTTACACAGTGGTTCCTAAATGTGTATGTTATTATTTACCGTTATAAATGTTGTCAAAAATTTTAAACTTATGTAAATTTCTAATTATTTTTCAAATAAAAAACTGTAAGCATTTTTATTTTACAACTAGTAAAAGGCAAAAAAAGTTTGTGTGTTGGGGTGTTTGGGGAAGCATACAGATGGATGTTAATGCATAATCAGTGATTGTATCTGATTATCTCTCACACTTTACTCCCCAACAGTGCCTTTACGACCTCCTAAAATTCTTCAGGAAGTGAAGGTACCAGTTATAGGAAACAGACAGTGTAACTGTTTTTATAGAGGGATTACAGACAACATGATCTGCTCTGGTGTTCTGTCAGGAGGCAAGGACTCGTGTCAGGTACTCTTCTTGATTTGATATATTCCCAGAATATAACATTGTTAAGTTCCCATCACTAATTAATAGTCAAAAATGTCTATGTTATGGATTTTTTTTCAGGGTGACTCAGGAGGTCCGATGGTGAGTAAGCAAAGCTCTCGCTGGATCCAGTCCGGAGTTGTTAGCTTTGGGGATGGCTGCGCTCGACCTAGGAAGCCTGGAGTCTACACCAGAGTGTCCCGTTACCAGTCCTGGATTAACTCCAACATCAGAGATAATAAGCCAGGCTTTGTCCAGTTCACCTCCAGCGGAGTGGACCCTGACAAAAACTTTTCCTGTCGGCGCTCGCCATTTTTACCCAAATAACAAGATCAAGACCTCCAACTGTGACTAACAGCAGTTTTAACACCAAGTGTCTGCAAAAATCAAAGTTTTAATTTAAGTGAAAACAATTTTCTAATTCTTAAAGTAGACAACAGTACTATTGCATACAATAGCAAACTATTTCCTTAAATACTTCTGTCATTGTCCGAATGTTTGATCTACCTTAGTGCCAACTGTAGAATGCAATTGTATGAAGTCCTATTTATTCTGATTACACAAAACAAAACCTGCTGTAAATTACAAAAAAAATATGATTAAATACATGATTATTGTCACATAAGAGACTGTGTGTGATTTAATTTTTATGTAAATGCAACTGTTCTATGAAGGCCTTCAAGGTTTTTAAGAGACAAACATCTTAAAAACCAGGCACGAAGCAGACAGGGCAGAGGGTTGGGATACTGAATAGTAAATTAGAAAGATACCACAAGTTAACAGAGGACTGCTTATCCATCAACCCCTTTATGAAAGACCAAGAAAAGAGAGCCTGAGATGTCCCATTAAAAGCCAAGAAGGAGGCAGGACAAATGGTTGGAAAATAGTTGAATGAAACAAGAATTGTACTTTCTGTTCTACATGCATAATACAGCTGAAACAAACAGTAATGACGTAAAACACATAATTTCCATAGGGAAAACTAGTAGAGGTAACATCATGCTTTGGAAAGGCTTTCTGCAGCAGGGGATGGGAAACTGGTCAGAGTTAATGGGAAGTTAGATTGAGCAATTTTCAGCAGTAAAATCTGTTACGAAAGACTTATTTTACTCCAAGGAAGCTATGGACGATTGTTAATATCTATAAAAGCTATATCTTTTGCACTTATTAAACATACACTGATCATAAGCTTTGACTCTCTTTCATTAACTTGATTTTTAGGACATTATCTTTTCAAACTGTTTTAATGTATCTACCTTAAAAAATTCTAAGTGCATGAGACAACTGGAGGTAGTAACAATCTCTTAAGGCTACATGACTCTCCGACCATATCCTCAATGTGGTTCATTCCTTTGACTTGATAATCCAAATATGTCCTCTAAAGAGGCCCTCATGGGAGGTGTTATAGTATAATATAATATAATATGGTAACACCTCACTCCTGACATCTTCCGTCAGTGAAGTCACGGTCCCGTAAGCCTAGCACAATTGTCCCCGCTGTACAAGCAAAATTAATGTGAGGTACTAGACATATCTGCAATCAACAACAGTTATTTAAGATTTTGAGAGGACTTCACCTTTGAAATTCACAAGACCTATAGTTAAATTGACAAGGCCCACATGCGTGGAATTTGAATGTTGTAATACATCAAGTAAAAGTGAAAAAAAAAGTTAGTTATTTCACCTTTCCGATTCATGATTCACCGAGGATGGGTTCGTCATTGAATTGCCTACTTGAAGAGGGAGGATTTGCCGTTGAACTTCTGGCCAGAGAAAAAACACGCATATGTAGCCATTATTTTGAAGACAGTTTTCAAGATGACTTGGATAATAGCGCGTTGTGACAAACACCAGATACAGCATTGGGACTTGATCAACAGCCGATACCGCACCGTGATGTCACAAACTGGTAGGTGGCAGTAGTTTTCATTGACAAATATGGATGTTTCCGGTAAAGCACATTTTAATGAAAGTCAAAACACTCAACACATTTATTGAACAGTATGTAATAAAGTCATATTTAAAGTACTTTTGGAATTTTGAAATTTCCTTTAAGTAAAAAGTAATGATTTTCCTTTGTTTTATTTCTAATTGATATTTAAGTAAAGCTTACTGAACTAATATCAATCTTAACTGTATACTATTTTTTCACTTTTCATTATATTCAACTTATTCAATAAAACTCAATAAACTGAAAAGTAATCAAAAAAGACATATTTGCAAATCTGCATATTGATTAAGACAAACAAGTATTCCAGTGCCTATCTACAACATTCAATCTGCAAGAGGTGGAGGGTAAAGCCTGGACAGGTTGCAAGTATGTCACAGGGCAACACAGGGGGGCACAAAGATATAAAAACCAGGCACTCACACGGAAAATCTAAAGAAGCCAATACATTTTTGGACTATGGGAGGAAGTCAGAGTACCCAGAGAGAACCCACATCTGCACAGGGAGAACATGCAAACTCCATGCAGAAAGAACCAGACCAGAGATCAAACCAAGAACCTTCTTGCTGCAAAGCAACAGTGCTACAAATTGCACTACCCTGCAGCCAGCAAGAAACTATGTACTATTTCTTACCAAAACATGTTCATGTAATTAAAAAAAGCACAAAATTGACTAATATCCAAGTAAATTTTACTCGCATCAGTTAAGTTGGGAACTTATTTCAATTGTTTTGTAAATACTATTTGTTAAGATAAATCAAATGTACTTGTCTTTTGATTGATATAGATTTTAAAAATAAATTCTAAGTTACACATTAGATAAAAGTTGTCATTTTGAAGTAAAGGCAGTTACATCATAATCTGCCGTAAATTTTTTCATAAAAACATAGGTAATTTTTACAGGACAAAGAAGTCCCTTTTTTCAGTGCACTAAGGGAGTCAATTCATGGCTGCTCTGTTGGAACAATAAAACCAGAGAATATCTCTTCTTTTTTGTGTTAGTATTATAGTATTTCTGAAAGGGAAATCTATCATTTTTATTAAATCTCACTGCTTTCCAAAAGAAGCTTGAGAGATTGATTGTTAAAAAGTTTTCAAGAAAATATATATATTTTTATTATTTCTTTTAGGCACCTAGTACTTCCATGTCCTGGGTGATTGATAATTAACCATAACTTCTTTAGAAATAAATGTTCAAGCCTCTCAACATGATAAGACTAGATGTACCATTGTTAATACCTGGATTTCTGAGACCTTTACCTCTGATGACTTCTGCAAGTTCTCTACTTGTACATTCTTCTCTGTTAGAAGACCAGCCATCCAAGATGGCTTCACGCATCATATAAGAGTTTATTTTGAACTTGTTTTTGTATAAAAGTACATTTATAGAGTTAAAATTGTCATAGTTATGTTTTTGTTTAGTTTGGTTTTGGACTTATGAGGACTTTTTCTGTTCACCCTGTCACTGTTCAGCCACCAACAGTTATCCTACCAGCGTAGTCTCCTCCAGCTACCCTCCTACTCTAGATTAACTTCACCTGTACATACTAATTAGTTACTTAGCTCACCTAATTACCTGCCTACTCATCTCTGCCAGAAAGTGTTACTCTCTTTATTGCTTTTCCATGTGATTTGCCTTTGCTTTACTAGCTCATGTGTGCTCTTCCACATGGACTCTCCTGCGAAGGTCACCTGTCTCTACATGCTGCAGCTCAGCCTGTTCCTCCTTGAGTCTCAGCTGCTTGCTTGGTTGTTCTGGTGGTTCTCCGTTCCACATGGCCTGTTGGCTCTGTCACCGCCTACATCTCCTGTTTCTCTGCTCATCCCTGCAAACCAGTACTTTCAACCAGGATTTTTCCGCCAAGAGTGACTGTTTACCTGCTTCATCTGCCATTATTTACCCGTTTCATAAACCCTTTAAATGTAACTATGCATCTGGCTGAATATTGAGTTATAGCATCTGCAAAGCACTTCCATTTCTAAAAAAATAAGTTATAATTTTCGTTCAATCTTTATAAAATTAAATATGTATAGTGATTTTCTTCCCTTTCCCACATTTCAGAGAAGGATAAAAGGATAATTTCTTTTTAAATAAAACAGTACAAGAAACAGTTCGTGTGTATATATTATTTATTTCTAAACAAAGCATTTTACATCCTTTTATCAAGCACATAGTTTTTTTTCATCTATCTTCAAGCATGTATTGTTTCAAAATGACCAGCGTCATTCACTTTATTTGTATGTCCAGCATTAAATCACCTGGTCCAATGAAAGCACATCATTCAAAGACTTAAAATACAGAAAATATTCACTTCTCAAAGTGCAAAACAAACATGAAACATTAAATTTAAGATCCCATTTTAAAACATTACATGGCATTTATAGATTTTCTTTGCATTTAAATCCTTTCCAACTTACATCATGGCCCATTACCCTTACAGTCCCATAAAATGTGCATTTAAATATCCAGATTTAAAGCAGCATGGCTCTCTTGAGCTTCCTCAATTAAAGTTCATAAAAAATGAGTGCATCATCAACACTTTCCTAATATACAGAGAAACGTATGCTTTGTTGTCTACACTTCTGTTTAGCAAACAACCACAGGGAATGGTTGGAGAAATACACATTGTGTTTGGTGCATTCACAAAATGAAAATGGACATCAGATACATTTCATAGAAACAACGATTGTTATAAATGTATTAGGTGGACATAAAGGCTGACGTCTATGAGGTAGAAATAAGGTGGAATTTCATCCCTCTGTTGGTGGGTCTCCTCCAGCTCCTGCGTCTCCCTCCCCGTTATCGTTAATCATCTGGTTGTATTTGCTCTTAAAAAATCCAGCCTGAGGGGCAAACAGTGTCGGTGTGGAAAAAGAAATGGTAAAAAAATTAAACCAGAATAATGGTTGTGTTTTTTAAATCAAATTAAATAAAAAAATTTCTTAAATTCTACCATCAGGAGTTTTCTCACCTTATATAGACCAGCAGTAAGTAGGAGCAGAAAGGCCAACCCGCCCAGAGATCCTCCTATAATCTCTTTAGTAAAATCTGGTTTCTGAAACACTTCTACTTCAGCCACAATCTAAAAACCCAGAGGGAAAAGTTTTAGATAAAAAAATCGGAATATATTTTTAGTATCAAGACATTAGAAATAAAATGGTATCACCTTGTGAACAGGAGGGTCATTATTAGAGGTTGTAGAGAAGAAGATGAACTGGCTCTTGTCATATTCTAGATTGGCTGTGCTGGTCAAGAGGAATTTGGCAGATAAAAGTCCAATCTAAAAAAAAAAAAGAAAAATAAAGATTTTAAGGTAATGTCAAAGTATTTACAAACTGTAAACAGCAAATCTCTGCCAAATTATCATCCAATACCTGTGCTATCCATCGAGAGCTGATGTTTCCAGAGATGGTGTATGTTTCTTCTCTGTTCTTTTCCATAAACTTAGAGCACCTGAACACTTGGCAACTCGCTACAGAGCAATCCTATGGTGAAAAATTCAACAGTTCAATATAATTTGCTTTTATAAAAGCATTCACAGTTAAAACAGCAACAAAAAAAAAAGGAAACTATGATTATTCCCTTTTACTTATCATGGTCCCACGGGATGAAGTTTTTAAAGTTGATTTTACTCACCCCACATAACATATACAATTTTAAACAGTGGAACCCTGGTTAATCAGTTTCAAAACATAGCTTTTCCTGCAATTTATTATTTTTTGTAGGTTTTTTTATGCATATTTCAACTTATTTATTTTAGCTTTCTGTCATCGATTAATTTTGCTTTATCACTAACTGATGTTTAGAAATATGTTGATTTAATCCACCTTAAGAGATAGGCAAGCCAGAAGCAAATTGTTGCCACCGTATTTGCTGTAGGTATGGTGCTCATTTGATGATGTTCATTAGGATCCAAACACATTCTCATACAAGGTTTAAGAAAACTTAAGCTTAATTGAAAAAAAAAAAATAAGTCTGTCTTTCCACAGTATGGAGAATACAGGAAAATGGCAGCTGGAAGTAAATCTAAATTCCTGCAGATCTTCCAGTGTTGCAATCAGCATCTTGGTAGAGTCCCTGACAAGTTTTATCTTGGTTTCAGCATTCTCTTTCTGCCATTTTAAACAAATGTTTCAATATTTTTTTTACTTTCACTTAAAAGTATTGTTGAAGATTTTCGCGATTTTTGGCAAAAACCCGCCGTCTCCACAAAAAATAAATAAAATTGCACATGCACAACCCTGTACCCGCTCTTGTGAGGGCATGCCTATTAAATTCGTGCGAAGGCATGCATTAGCCCCTTTCTCTTGAGGAAGTGCGAGGATGCACACAATGAAAAGGCAGATGCTCGGATGGATCTCATCTTACCTATATTTATATACAAAAAAAAGTTTCCCTAAAAAACAGACTACTGAAACATTAAAAAATTGTGACATGTTGTGTGTGTGTGCAGTGGAAATTTGGACATATTTCCAGGGTAAATAAGGATCTGTGGCTACCATATAACCTCTTACAATATAGAGGTAGATGACTTTTACTAGCAGTGATGTGAAATGGATACGCCGAAATATTAGCGATAAAAAGATAGCTACTTGGGAATGAGCACGTAGGACGGCCTTACGTAAACACATCACCAGAATGATTGACAGTTAGGAGGGCCGCTTATTTTGATGATCCACTCAGAAAAATAACATCTTCCTCTATACTTTTAACTGATCATTTTTTGAAAGGCATATTTTGGATATTTGGGGTATTATAAGTGAAATCCTGACTTTATGTCAGTGTACTCTGATCCAGTTCAGCTCTGGGTAGGTTTGAAGTCTAGAAGACAGGCAACAACTAAAACAAAAGGTTTTACATTAGTTCAGTTATTCACCACCAAACCTGAGATAAGTTCTGATCATTGATTTGCTTATTTAAAAGGTGAATAGGACATGATAGAGGTCGCATTATGAGGAAAATCCTGTGAGATAATTCATCAGTGAACCTTCTGAGGTTTGTTAACTTTCTACGGACACTCTATTTATTAGGAAACACTTGATAAAAAACATACTTACCAGGCTTTTATTTTCTTTTATCTGAGGAATAAAATCTGTGACAGATGGGTTTACAACCTCTCCTTTCTTACAGCCATCAACCTGAAAGCAGAACTCCCTCACGTCAGTTTGAGTCTTCATCAACTTTAAATTAATCCGTTTGTAACAATTTTCACCTTAAGACTACTTGTGTCCGCCCAGATTTCTTTGTCACCAAGCTTTACTGGAACCATGATCACTATAGTAAAGTTTAGTGCTCTGATAACGTTTGTAACCTAAAAGGAATGGTAAGAAAATAAAAATAATTATATTAATTACTGAACTTAAGGCAGCAATGTAGAGGATAAAACTTATATGACTTAATGATGTCATCTTTACCTTTAATTTTTGCTGAAGAGGTTTCTGTAAGTCATTCTCTCCATATGTGAAGTTGTTGTAGCTGAGGGAGCTGAACACATGTAGGATGCACGCATTTAATAAAAAAAAAAATTAAAGAGTGCGGAACTTTTAATAGAAATATATTTTAATCAACACACCTTTCAGTTGTAATATAAATACTGTACTTCACATCAATCTCTTTCTTCATGTAGGGTACGCTGGTGGAGGCACTCTGATTGTTGCCGCTTGGAGAGAAAGGCAAAATGAATAAGTTAAATTAAGAAATATGCTTAGAAGAGCTGAACCATATATATTAATGAATCGTACCTGGTGGCATTCGCTGTGACATAGATCTTCCTATCAAGTTCACTGGTTGGGTTGTGGCCATAGGAAACAATGAAGATTGCCTGAAAATTAAATGAAAAAGTTTCAGAAAACAGTTTCTTCTGGCTCAGTAATGTCTTAAACAGTGAAAAACAGCAAAAACTAACCACAGAGTTGCTTCTGAATATAGGTTTGTTGATGCTACAGTCCGTCTTTCCTCTTGTTACACCATCCTCACTGTCCAAAGAGTTGCATTCAATTCTTCCCTGTAATAAAAGACAGAACATCCACTCACTGCAGCATTGGTCAAAAACAAACCCACTTTAAAGTTGACCCTTGTTCCTTACTTCCACAGTTTCGAACTTCCGGAAGGAGAGTCCGATTGGGTACGTGAGAATGACGTGGCTGTTGTATGAGTTTTCTCCTCTGTTCTCCACAAAGACAGTCACATTTAAAAGTTCATCTATGCCCACTTTAACCTCTGAGGATCTGAAAGGATCAGATAAATGACAAAAACCTTACATATGGAGATAAGCATTATATTTAAAAGTTTAAAAGAATATGTAAAAACCTCATGGGCTTTATTTCCAGCAACAAATCACTTACTTGGTGAAGTTAAAATCCACCTTTAAATCATCTACGCACTTTGAATCTGGCCCACAGCTGATCTCAAAGCCAATCTGTGAATGACAGTAAACTATCAAGTTATTACAAAAAACAAACAAACATCATATTCAGGTTTTGTACATTTTTTTAATAACTTTTTAAAGAAAACATTTAGCACGAAATGTTTAAATAACTCTAAAAATACTGAGAAGTAGATTATGCTGTTCAGCTAAATTGTGAATAGAGGTTACTAACAGAATGAAAGGAAGTATCTTGAGCCTGTGGAGAGAGGCTTGGTAGAGGTTCAGAGCCAGTAGTCAAACCATCAAACGTGAATCTAAGCGCGTTATTGAGTGGATAAAGAGCATCTTCCGGACAAGACTGTAAGCAGAAAGAAAACAAATGAAAAATGTATTTTATTTTATTTTATGTCAAATTACGGTTGAATTAGATTAGATTAGGACTTACTTCAATAGAGAAATCCACCCCCTGACATGTTTGCCTATTTAAAGAAAGAGTCAGAGATTCGTCCTTTTCTCTCAGGTTCTTACTGATCCAGGCTCGGTTGTTTGGTATTTCACGGTTTGCATCCAATGTTAGAGTGAAATTAATCTTTGCTTGAGCTGGGAGATACATTTGGTTTGTTAAAAGTTCTCAAATAACAGAAGAGAGAGTTAAATGAAATATGGTGAACTACCTTGCTTCAGTTTAGATAAGTTGCTCATGGTGAAGCAGACAGTGGCCCTACCAGCCAGGGGTTTCGAGCAGTCTGGGTTCTGAGTTGGGATTTGAGGTGGAATGAATGAAACAGAGGCCCTCACCATCACAACTGGTCTGGATCTAAAAACAAAACAGAAGCTTGTGAAACAGGTAAAGCACCAGGGGTCCATTTCATGTAGCAGGTTTATAGAAAATTTTAAGTTATCTAAACCTGAAAACAGGAAAACTCTGGACTCTGCTCTCCCTACAGCCATTCACGGGAATCTTATTAAATGATTGGCACTTTTTCACAGAGAATCAAATGTTTATAGTTTACTGGTTTTACTGAATATGTATTCCTGATATCTGAAAAAATTAATTTTTCTTCTAAATGACCATTTCAAGCAAAATGACATTCTCTACATCTAGAATAAACATTCTGGATGTCTAGAAATGTATTTCTGATCTCCATATTTCTAATATTACTGGTCAGCATTTGTATTATTTTAACTTTGAAAAAATGTTTTTCAGATATCATTTATTCATTCATTCATTTTCCTTTATGCTTTTCCCAGGTGGGGTCACGATGGGTGCTGGTGCCTATCTCCGGCTGTCTATGGGCGAGAGGCTGGGTACACCCTGGACAGGTTGGCCAGTTTTTAAGATATCATAAATACATTTTCAATTAAGTTGATAAAAGTCTGAACGGCCACCTAAAACCTAAAACTTAATTCTTACTAGTATAATTTTGTTTCTTTAACGCTCTAAAATTCAGTCTCTGCTACAAAAATGTAATTTAGAATATATATTATTTCAGTTTGGTCTAGGAGTGTGATTTTGCTGAGGAAGAATCTTATTTTAGTGATTCACAAATGGAACAACAGAGAAGAGTGCTTTTAATAAATGTAAAAACTGCCTGCCATAGCCCACTTCATATAAACTTAATTACTTGAGCAACAATCTTCTCCATTGCCATCTTCCTTTCCCTTGTAGCTGCAGCGCTGTTTGTCTTTTAAACACATTCTCCTTATTTTTCCTTTTTGTTTTTTGCATTTCTACATTAGAATTTCTAGTGGAGTGAAATTGACACTTCCTATTGCCTGTTGTCATGGTGACTTGCCGAATCGGGGCTCCATTGATAATGGCTTTTCATACTTGTTACGCATGTGCTTAACTCAGAGTGGACCTAGTAAAAATTGATTGAACTAATTCATAGCAGTCGTTCTCTGAGGAGATCGATGGGGATTTGGATGTGTATGGCTTGCGTTTCTAAGTCGCTTGTGGAGAAATGTCCTGGGTCGTGAGTAGCGAGGAAACAGGAATTGATTCTTGTGGGATGGAAGAAGGAAATAGTGAAAAATGCTGATGAAGATTCTCAGTCATCCAGGTCATAGTCATTCCGTAAAAATTCAAAAAAATATCCACTGGACTTGGTTTCCAAGATTTGAAGACAAAGCCTTGTATCGCTTGGGAACATGCAAATGGTAACCGATGAATGGGTCGTTTGGTTCCATCGTTAGCCTGTAATATCTGAAACCTGTCTATGATTCTGAGGGTCGGTCGTTAAAGGGGGAGGGATTGCCGTTAAGGGGGGAATAAAAAATAGGAGAAAAAGCAGAGACCAATTGAAGGAGAGTCCAGCATAGGACAATGTAGTGATGAACAATCTAGAAATTTCATGGAAAAACTAAATGAGTACAAAGTCATATTCAAACTATTTAATCAGGGAGATACTTTTGCAGATTGGAATCCGGTTCAGTTAACAAAAATGATCAACTTTTAGGAGAAGTCAGAAGTGCCACAATCCTGTATAGTGGAGACCTGTTAATCAACTGCAGAGACAGCGCTCAACAAGGCAAAGCCAAACGGATTAAAAAGATTGAGGGGAAAAGAGTTCCGTGCAGCTTAGTGGAGAACAAAAGGGTTAGTAGAGGAGTTCCTCTAAAAGTAACTGACAAGGAGACTCCTGAAAAAATAAGTGGTGCAATAGTAAAAAAACGTGAAACAGATAAAAACAACAAGAAATGGAGAAAGGTGTGACAGCTTAACGGTATCGATCAAATTTGAAGAAGAGAAGTTACCGAGTAAAGTTTTCCTTGGATATATGAGCTACAATGTCAAAATGTAAAATTCTCCACCACTGAGATGTTTTAAATGCCAAAAATTCAGTCA